CCCCGCATCTCCCTTCTGTTCTGCAATGTGATTTGTCCTTTTCATATTTGTTCTTTTTTTTAATTGTATCCTTTGGTATATATGGTTTTGACTATTTTCTTCCACTATTTGATCTGAGGAAGTGGGTCTGGCCCACGAAAGCTCATCATCTAATAAACCATCTTGTTAGTCTTTAAAGTGCTACATTGTCCTGCATTTTGCTTCAACTACCCCAGACTAACACGGCTACATTTCTATCACTATGAGGAAATCAGATTTTGAAGTAAAAGGGAAATCAGCTAAATCTCAGGGCAAGCCGGTTGAAGCTATGAAAACTCTCTCTAAACAAACACAGAGGGAGGAATACTGTTGGGTTCATCAGTCAAATTTCAGTCCAAGAATTCCAGCTTTATATACATACCACCATCTGTTATAGGATGGGGCCAAATTGTACTCGGTGCATTTCTATCAGACTTAATGTGATAGAAATGGTGAAAACCACCATAGGTTCTCAGTGAAGACAGATGATAGCCAGAAGATAGAAACAGAGAGCAAAGCCAGAACATACTCACTGAGACCCTGTGGTAACACATCCACAATAACAGTAATATATATTCATAGAACACAAGAAAATACCAAACTCTCCAATACTTTACCACCTTCTATAGTTAGGTTTACCTCTCTCTTGGAGACATTTTATGACTCTCAATATGACATAATATAAGAATGTGAAACAGATGCCAATTATATTTGAACTGGACATCCTAGGTGAAAACAGCTCCCCCTCCTTCCTACCCAAGTCTATTGTTTTATGGGGGCTAATTACCATTGTTCTGTCTGGGCAGGGCTGCTGCTAAACAGCTACTAAAACTAGTTACAGAAATGGTGGGACTTTCATAGCGCAGCCAGACTTAGCCACCAGGCTGACAAAATGAGTAAGGAATCATGGTATTTTAATAGATGATGAAAGGACACTGTCAGCAAATTGTCTAGGTCCAAAGTTCAATGACTTGTATGTTCAGCCTCCAAGGAATTGTAAATCTCAGGGCTGTGTGTAAATGCAAACACATACAACCCCCAAAGCTGTCCATACCGTAAACCTCACGCCCCTCAAAGCTAAACGCAGATAACGCTCAATTCCATGCACAACTCTAATGGGCAAACAATGAAATCCTGGCAAATGCTCACAAAGACCCCGGCAAGTCTCATAAGAGGGCTTCTCTTAAACAGGTATTTCCTCCCTGCACTATGTGACTGTCTCCCAGGAGCTGACATTAGGGGGTTCCCACCACCCCCTTCCCAGCAGCTAAAGAGGAAAGCTAATGGTGTCCTGTTTGCTTTCCGGGGTCCCGCCTTTGCTATCACCAGGCCCCATAAAACTGAGGTTCCTGGGTGATTGCTCTGGGGAACTCTCTTAGCCTTTTCCCCGGGCATGGGAGCTGGATCGAGGAGCGACTTGAAGTGGTTTCCATCATAGGCAGTTTGGTTCAATGGCTCTCAACACCCTCCCGCCCCTTCTTCCAGCCCCCCCGCTGCATCGCATCGCATCGCAGGTTAGACTCTGACCCTCTTCCTCCACCCCCAACTCAGCCCCCTCCATGGATTCGGGGAGCAACCCGCGCAACAGGCTGTTCAAGAATTGACTTTCACACCCGTGGGAAGCCACCAGGGCGGACTCAACCTG